TTTAATTTCCTTGTTCTTCGATAAACTTACAGCTTGTTCGATCTTGTGCGAAATTTGTTTTATCTTCGCCCTCATTCGATTATCGATAACGAACCAACATGGCAAACTTTCAATAGAACGCTGCAAGTGTAAACGCAACATCACATGTGTGTTTCGCAAAACGCTTAATCAAAAAAAGAGAATATAGATTAAAGTTAAGATTAAAATAAAAATACTGTACGTTATTATAATTATTTATAATACGTATGATATATGGTACACTACTTATTATACACATGTATAATAAGAACTAATTTCGACCAGAAGATTTAATGGAAGATTAAAGAATCTTCCATTTGAGAATCATTTTTTGAGAACCAAATGTCAGTTCATCCCCAGCAGAACGTACCTAGAAATTGATCACCTCGCGATGTGTATCACATTCAGAGTCGACGATCGCGCAAGTCGAAATCAGAAGCGGAAGGTGAAAGAGCAGCGAGATGGAGAAGGGGGTAGGGAGAAGGAGGAAGAGTGGAGAGTGGAGGATGCGAGAGTTAAATTAGTTTCCGGGGCAAAAGCTGGCTGCCGGCCGGTTTTCAGGACTAACCCCGTGTATAATTCCAGAACAGCTCCATCAGGCTGGAACCCACGAAGAACCTTCCATCCAGACTATCCGACCGCCTCCGCTAGCACCACACGAAGCATCCCCTAACACGTGTGCGCCCACCACCTTCCCGGACTTCGCGGGCGCTGCAGTTTGCGAAGTTAATTACCGCCGGATAATTGCACCCTATATGCCGTCCGTCTGATTAATGAGGCGCGGCCGGGTGAGAATCATCAGGGATACTAGAATCTTTACGTCTCTTTCTCCCTTTCTCTTTTATCATCAAGAAGCGATTTCGTGACCATTTCTGTGACTATCGCACAAATATTGGAATTAACAAATTGAAAGTTATTGAAATAATTTTTACGGATTGTGCAATTAATTGAAAAGGAATTAATGTTTTAGAAAATTAGAGATGATTTAAGATAAATATTTAATACATTAAAATGATTCCTATAATTCTTTTAATTTAAACTCTTAATTGAATGCAGATATGCATTACTAATCGACTCTGTCACCGAAAAAAATTAATAAATGTTTTTCAAGTTCTCATGAAACTTTAGTAATTTATTAAAAAGTGTCAACAAAAAAAAAACAAAAATTTTTTTACTTTCTATTTTTTCAATTTCAACTCATTACATTTTTTATTACATTTCATCCAAATCCTAAAGTCCTAATTTCTTTACACTTACGAATACTTGTATTCGAGATCTATCGAAATGTGATTGCTTGTAGGAATTAGAGAACTTGGATGAATTAATATCTGCGCAATCACGGTATTGCTCTCGCTTATCTCTAGAGGTTGTTCTGGAAACGATTCCTTCGAGAAATCCTCGGGGGGCATACAGGTTCCCACAGGAAATGCTTTTCGCACAGCTTGCGGTTACCTTGCGCGAGCTTGCAAAGCAGCCGTCTTCCTCGGCTAGAATCCTTCATGCCTGAAGAGGGAAACTCAGCAAGATCTCGAAAGGTTGCCTGAAACGGCAGGAAAGCTTGATTACTGACTTTGCGTCGCGATGTCAATTCCGTCTGATATGCTGCACATGTTTAGGAGGACACTCCGTACACGGGTTAGTGATCAAAGAGCGCTGATTGTTAATTAATTAACGTTAGGGAGTATATCAGATTACGTAATCGAGAAGCAGACTCTTAGCGAATTGTATGCTTTGATTCAAGATATTACAGATTATATATACCTAACTATTTTTTTTGCTTACACTATACATATGTATCTAATATGTTAAATATATATATGTATTTATTTCTTATACATATAAATAAGTTTAAGTTTAAATTTAATTAGTATACATATCTTTGATCAAGTTTATTTTAAGAGTTTCTCTCCCTCCCCCCCCCTCTCTCTCTCTCTCTTTCTCTCGCTCGCTCTGTAATATTAAAAATAAAAGAAAGCAGTAGCATAAATATCACTTGAATTGATATTGTATAACATAGTCAGATTGTCCCATTGCTGCCAAAGTGTGCCCATTTAACCGAGTTAAATGTGAAACACCATGTGTATTTTCATCTCAGCGATTTACGAAGCTGTGCTGACAGCCAGTAGTAGAACACCGGCTTTTGCAATTCATGATCTAGAAAAGCCCCAGCAAGCTTTCGAAACGGCGACGAATACAGGCCCGCCTGTTTGTTTTCAACGCGCGACGAGTGTAACTGAACGTTTTCAACCGCAAAATGATGCTCGCGGTCGCAGGCATCGTGTAAACACGCGCATTCAACGCGGCAAAAACGTCTTTCTCTATTTTTTTTTACGCCCTTCTCTGACATACTACGCTTTTGTTCTCCTTTTGCCGCAGGCCATGCCAGCACTACATATAGATGCTCATTTGTACATAGCATTTGGTGTCATCTCTTGTTATCGTTATTTCAAACATCATAATCAGCAATATGATATACTTGAATATAGATAGAAATACAGATGTAAAAGTAGTGGATCTTTAGGTCAAAAAGGATATTATTCAGATGCAGATGCAAGTTCAAGTATAGGTCCAGATAATAAGTTAGAAAATATATAATTGCTAACACAAGTACTAAAAATATATTCCACTTGCTCCTCTCTAATCGATTTGCTATAATCATTTCGCCTAATACCATAAATCTCATTTTTTCGGCAATCGAGATTTTACCTGCACTTTAACGCAAAAGGATTATGATGGTTTGCGCGCGCAGCGTGTCCAATTTATCGTCCTGTTATCATTCATGTTCATCGATCGAGGCAATATGAATGCAATCATCGTCGCGGCAACGACATAAAATTTACTGCATCGGCTGTAAAATTTACTGTTGACCAAACTACGTTCACCGGCTGCACATTCGCTGTCCGCGAGGTCGTTACAAGTAACCGACGATCGAAAATTAACGAGAAATCTAATCTGACGCAAGATGTGTTTCCATTCCCGAACTAATGATAATAACGCTGTATTTTCGTAAGATTAAATGCGATTTAAAATTGCTTTCCATTGCAATTTCATCATTATGATTGGCGCTCAAATTTTTATACCGCAATGCGGATGCTACCAGATTGATTTAAGAAATATCAGTAAGCGTTACTCTATGACATGGCTTAGCGAGATGCCGGCAAGAGATACGGCACGTCTCTGATTGCGTTTCTTAGCTCACAGCCACCCCCTTACTGTCCATCCCGTCTGTCACCACCCCTTTCGGCGCCGACCGCGCTTGTCTCTTCCCTTCTGCCTTCTCCTCTTAACGGCGGCGCAGCTATGTGTTCTCTCTCTCTCTCTCTCTCTCTCTCTCGCGCGCGCGCGCGCGGTTTTTCTTTCAGTCCAGAAGAGTCTCAGGATCGGATTTAACTCTTTAACTTCAAAAATTCTTTCAACTATAATCTTGCTTTCTGTACGATTGCGTACGACATTCAAGTTTTTCCCGTTATTATTATTTTGGTACATTTTATTCAAAACATACTTGTGATTATATTTATTTATTTAACAAAATATATACACAATTATATATATGTTGATAACACATTAAAATTAATTAATTACTATTTTTCAGATTTGCCATCATTTTGACTACTTTAAACTTATTAAATTTTATAATTTATTTTCATGAAATTTGTATTATCCACTATTGTCCAGGAATGAAATAAAAAATGACAGTCAAGATAAAAGTTATAGGAGCAGCCTAGAAAAGTAAACGACAATACGACTGAAATAATAGAGACGTTTAACTAAACTGCTCAAATAAAACAACCACTGCGTGTCACATATGGGCCACCGCTAACAGTCCCCAAGAGGTGAAAATTTGCACGAGCGGCCCTGAATGGGGACGGTGCGCTTAGAGTAAACGGGGAAGAGAAGAACGGAGAAGCTTTACAGAATTAAGGAGCCATTCGCCTTTCATTAACTCACTACGAGCCCAAGGGGGAGAGATATTCCCTTCGTGCTAACTCATCCCCAGTTTATCACTACGTAGATGGAGGGAGGGGTGACTGTCTCCGATAGAAGGACTGGACTTTTATCCTGCCGCGAGGCCATTTACCACCGTCGCTGCGCTTGGCAAATAGGTAAACGAGATCTTTCCCGATTCTCCTAAACTCTTCAACCGCGATCTAGATTGCACTACTTCGTTAATCAAGACGATAGAACGCGCAATCCGTTTGCGTTTTCCATTCCTCCCTCACATTTATTTTCCTCTGAACGTCCTCGAGTTTTAGATTAAATTTGAAGTAATCGGCGGCTCTTGCCTTAATCGCTTCAATACTCCTTTAGAAAAGAGAATTCCAATAAAGTAATTATAGTTACTTAGTTAACAAGTCTTAATTTATTTTCATGTTTTCCTTGAAGGTAGATTGGTGTTGATTTGAACATTGATGTTGAAAGACAGTTGAAAGTGTCTCATTAACAAATATACATACATCTTTTAATAGATGTAAATTATTGCAACATCATATTATATTTGCCTAATGATATCGATTTTCAATTTTCTTTTAAAACAAATCTTTTACAACACAAGTCAGATAAAAAATATCAAGGCTATAATGCTTTTTCGATAAAAACCGATTAAAAGAATTTACAAATCATAAAGCTAATATCTCGTGCGTTCAAGTATGACAAAATAGACGGATAAAAGTACTGTCGTTAATTGAATCGTTTCAACGATTGAGATTATCATATAAAATCACAAACACATATGCTTTCTAAATGAGATTTTCTTATTAAAAAATTTTCTTATTATAAATTTCTTTGTAGTCATAAATTTAAATCGCAACAGATTGTCTCAACATCCGTTTAATACGTTGTGTGATAATTCCCTTCTAGTTAACATTATAACAAATTGGGAAATACCCTGGATCTCACAGATCCAACCGCACAACCGACGTTAATCTTTACATAGCAGACGAGCTGCTCGAACCACGCATCGACTTTTCGGTGTTAAGACTTACCGGGATCGGAAGAGGGATGCGCTCTGGTGAGTCTGCAGAGTTGTAATGGCAGATAACGAGTATCCGCCCGCGGTGGTGACTTTGGTGGCGGCGGCGTCGCGCTCAGGAAACCGCGCTGAAGTTCCCAGCCCACTTCCTGGATGATCGAAGCCTTCCTGAAGTACGGCGTCACTTCCCGCAGGTACTTCACTGCAACAAGAAAACACATCGTCAGAGTGTGTCGCCAAGCAGATCAGATGAAAATACAAATGTTTATGTTTTATCTCTTAATTCTGTCTAAGCTCTCACGATGATCCTACATTACAGATCTGTCCATTTTTGTTACATTTACTAAATTTTTTTTCTCTCGCTCTATAACTTGAGCATACACTTACATATGATCTCCTTATTACAGAAAAGAATAAGCAAGAAAACACATATACCATGAATTAACACCGTGGATTTCATATTTCTGTATCATAAACTATAATACTTTTAGTCAACTTTCAGTTTAACAACTATTTTTTTACCGTAATGCAACGAGAATATTTGTACATATATATTACAGATATAGAGATAATTATATTCTATCGTGTCGGCATATCGTTAATAATTAAAAGTTGCAATTCTAATTTTACCTTAACTTTTATATTAATAAAAGAGATTCTTCTTATAAATAAAAGGAAAATAATTTTTCCTCACAAAGTTTAATACTTATATATAATATTATGATACTTAATATTTTTCATTATAATTTAAGATGAGCATGCAGATTTATAATTTAATTCATTGTCAACTTCAAAGAAACGTTGTAAAAGTTGTAAGTTGTTCAATTTCCCTCCCAAATCATATTCATCTTCGTCCCAAAAAAAAAAAAAAACATTTACAGATGTGTGAACGAATCCATTATTGAAGAAAGGCTTGTGAGTTCTGTGAAGAAACTTTAAAACGAAGAAAAGCAATTTACTTTCGACGTACTTTACATTACTCGTATGAGCTCAAATGTTCGCGCGTTCAAGGACCTGCGAGAATTCGGCTAGGAAAATCTAACTTTCTTTTCGAGAGACGCGCGACTCTGAAACGAAAGTCGTGTCGCGGAAATCGAGTATCGACCTTTCAAATTGCGGGGGCTCGTCCGCTTAGTCGACATCTTGTCGGCCCTATTACGCGAAATTTAATGGAGAACGTCACGTGGCGACAGCGGCGAGACGGGAGTGGAATTCTGATGTATCGTATCCACGATGATCCAATATGTTTGCCATAAGGCTTCATATGAATGGTATGCGCAGCCAGCTGTATTTACTCCCTTTCGATCTCAAACGACATTTCCGCAGATCACGCCGATCCCCTTGATTAAATATATCTGCAGCATTTATCAACGTTAGCGCGCTCAATGTCAGCGCCTTTACTTTCATGTGGCTCTAGTTTTATGAAAATTATGACAAAGATCTATCTAGATTAAATTGTTATATATAAAATCTTCATGCGCGGCGCACATCTTCTATATACATAAGTAGCACATAGTATAGTACCTATATATTTGACGATATATAATTGATGTCAGTTGTTAAGAATTAATTACAATTTTATATCTATATTAAAAAAAAACTGCCATTTGTTTCTACTTTATTAATTAGATGAATGTAGCCCCAATCCCTGCAGAGATATCCCACTGAAATAATTTTGCGCTGAAAGGGTTAACCGACGGATAGGAGGACGGTACCGTGTCCACGGCCGAAGATCAAGCTCCCGTGTCCAACTTTTCATGCGCGCACGTACTCTCTGCGACCTAGCTGCCGTATGCCGACGCGCAACGTATTTCTATTGAATTTATTTCGGTGCCCTGGACGGTGCACGTTGCTGATTGCAGCTACATCGAGCCGGCCAGGCAGGCATCGGGACGCCCGCGCCCGCGCCGCGGCCGGACCCGACGCAGCGCAACGCTTCGCTTGCCAGTCACGTATTCCTGCATCATTTGCTATGGGTTTCATACCAGCCATAACTCTACGGATATATCCACCCCCTCCCTCTTCGTAACCCCTTTCTGCTCCCTTTCCTCCTCTTCGGCCTTCGACCGCTTCAAATCCCACGCCATAACTGCTGCGTCGAAATTGTGTCCTCCCTGCAGGCTTGCTGCTCTTAATCCGCCACGCATTCATCGTGCGAGGAAGTGGCGTCGGAATTAATCAAGTCTTGCCTGTCGTCGTTAATTTGAGCAAAGGCCGCTAATTTTCATTCGCCAGCGAGCTGTTAATCGCGAAGCGGCCTTTGACAAAACAGAATTCACGACGGGATTGAATGGCATTGTACCGACGCTTGCGAGTCGGCAAGCATAGTGTCGCGGAATGATGTGACGAGGAGATCGGTAAGCTTTGATTGAGCTTTCACGTAGGTGTTTGTTTAACGGTATATTGTAGCAGCTGCTACAGACTCGTCTGGCTGCATTTAGATCCAATAGAATAGACTTGGACATTTATGATTTCTAAGCATTAAATGGCAAGTTGCAAACATAAATGCATTAAATGAAATGTAAATTCACATAAGTATGTGACAAATCAAATTGATAAGAAAATTACAGAAATAATGTAAAAGTACAAAAAATAAATAAAGCATAAATTTTAAAAAATAAAGATTTATATATTACATTAGCCAAATATATTCATAAATAAATCCAAAAACTAATTTAGCAAATTATTTAATTTTGGAATATTAATAATTATCATATTTAACTAATGTATGGAAACTTTTGCCGTATTTATATAAACTGCACGTTGTTTGTGTATTTCCTTTATCCTAGAATTATTGTCTTTCAAATTATATCTTCAGTTGCAGAATGCTTTGTTCGTAATATATGTATTAATTGAAAAATAATTAAGTAAAATACATTAAGAGAATTAAGTAAAACACTGCAGGATTAAGACTGGGATCAGATCAGTATCCAATTTCAACTCTTTTACATTTCTCTTTTTATTCTTTTTCTTCTTCTTTTGCTATTGTGTTATATTTTACTGGTTGAATATGCAACTTTTACACTATACAAAAAAGAAGAAAAAACCATAGATCCGAGAGGACCTATTACGCGTGGTTCCATCAACACATTCTGCTCGCATTCGCCGTCGAATCGAGCCGAAACGCTGGGATAGCCAGTGCAGCGTTGCGAATCAATCGACCATAATCGCACCCGTTGAATCGCGTTCTCCCGTTTCCTGCGTCTGGAAAAAGCGTTTCGATGGCGGCCACGCGTACCGCATATCAATAGCCCATCTCGTCCCGAAAGCTGGCCCCTGCATCCAGGAAGGATGCCATAGCGTCGTCCTTGTTGCGGCCAGATAGGAAACTAATAAACCGGAAGACGGCTATCGCGCCCATACTCGGTAAATCGATCATGGCTCGATCCCAAGATCGTAATTCGATCTTTATATGTCATCACGGTCTATATCGAAGAAGCATAATAGGCAATTCAAACATTTGCACTGCGTTTACAACGCGTTGAACAAAAGTTTATCTAATCTACTTGATACAATTGTAAATTTTCCAAGTCCTACGTTAAAATAAAATAATTTAAATAAAAAAAAATATATATATATATACATATGTGTATATCGCGTTTTTATGTGTTCTTTTATTTTAAAAATATAGAAAAATAAATACATCAAAGTATATCCACATGCGCGCGTTCAAAAAATATTATACATTATTTTATATTTCATAGTAAAACATTTTACTTATAGCTTCATCATGAATTTTATTATTAATTCAACATTGGTTTTATTGCACTTTCACTTTTCCTTGAGGTGTTGTTTCATCGGCAGAATATCTTTAAAACGAATATTGTGGCTCGCACAGATAAAAGAGAGAACGCGAAGAGCGTGTCTAGCTATTCGTCTTGGGACCGATACTCGTTTCGAATTCTCCTGTTGCGATTGGCAACAGGATTCGGATCTTGCGAACCCTTACGAGGCGAGAACCCATTTCTTTCTCCGCGACCGTAAAGCCTCCAGGAATTTCTCTCAAAGGATAGTGAAACCCCCTTATAGTGAAACATTCTCTACGTGGGGCAAATTTCTTGACAGATTTTTGAGTCCTAATAAATTCTGGCAAAACGACCGCAAGTCATCCAAGAAAAAGACATTAGACTGAAAGCTCCCGTCCCGTTTGCTGTCCGTCTTTTTATCTCGCGATAAGCAAAGTTTCTGTAGAAAATGAATCCTTTAGTAAACGTCTGCTTAGCCAAAGCTTCAACTTTCCTTATGTTAATCTTTCAAAGATAAAATAAAAAAAATTTGAAATATTTACTTATCTCAAATTTTTTGCTATAGTAACATTCTCAATTATATTGCATTTCCTACAACAATTGTAATTATATTATAGAAATTAATATCATATAACAATAATTTCAAACAAGACTGATATATGTATATACAACAATTAAGGGGTGAATTGACTCTTTCCCCTTATGATTTAAAATATCATATAAATCTTAAGCTCAGAATGTATTTTCTCAATTTCTTAAATCGCTGTTCAACAAATCGCTTCGATTGATAGTCTGTACGATCTCCCTCCTAAATTCAACGCCGTCACTTTTCCATAAATCGCATATCTCGGGAACATGATATCCTGTCGATAACGAGGTTGCAGGAAATGCGCGCGACATGAAAGTTGAGAAAAAATGTCGCGCGAGCTATCGGCCAAACGATTGGCAGCAGTATATATTTTGTATAAATTCGAACTCATACACGATTTGATGAATCATGTAAAAGTAAGCATATCGGATAAATTAATTCTTTAAAAATGAATATATTTTAATTCGTGGATTATTCGATATATATATATATATATATATATATATATATATTCCAATATAATATAATGAATATTCATGAATTTTCAATCTAATAACTTGTAAATCTTATCAAATCATTCATCCGTCATTATTAAATTTTTATTTAAAAATGTCTTCATTAATTTCATATAAAATTATACATAAATGTATGAGACATATCAATTTAGATGTACGCAAAAAATCAAAAATATCTCACAATATCATTATTTCAAATACATATAAACATAAATGTACTATGTACCGATATTACGATATATTTTCATATATAATGAAAGATAATTTACGTTAATAGAAGTCCCTGTAAGTAAGAATTAAATTGATATATACACTTAAGTATCATTTATCCAATCTCTAATCAAAAATGTTT